CATGTGAACATACCTATTATTTTCCTGTGTGAGTAATTACTATGCTATTATACATGCTATGAGGTGAGATGATCAGAGTTTTATTTGAGCGGTACCACTTCAAATCTGAAGAAACAAGAAGTCAAAAATGAGCTTTAACCTTGGAGATATATCCTGGCGCCTTGGTTCTTAAATTAGAAATCAAGATTCTGGTTTTTGAACTCTGCATTTTAAACAAATATGCAGGTTGATATCAGGGGCATTATTTCTGTAACTAGGATATATTTGAGAAGAAAAGCATTTTTAGTAAACTTAAGCTGATTTGAAAGGTGAGGGGAGTCATTTGGTCTTTCTGGCAGCAGGACCTGCATTTGTATTCTTACCTGGTGTTTCAAAAGAGCCCTCTGAAAGGGGTTGGGAGACTATGACTCTTCACTGAAAAAGACATCAATGGTTGGGATTTCTCTATGTGGACTCTGCTAAATATGGCTATTTTTTAAAATTCAAGTAAAATTACTTAAATCTTTTAATTTGACAGTAAGAGTGGGTAAGCCTGAGCAGTATCTCAATGCTTTGATATTTCAGTATAGTGAAGAACAGTCCTGTATGATGTAATAACTTGATTTTGCTTTTAGTCAGTCGCAACCTGGAATAACTGCTTTACTGGGATAGGTAGCAATTCCTTCCTCTCCTTGTGCATTGTAGCTTACTGGTAGTGTTTAGCTGGGACAAGTACTGTAACATTAGATCATGGGATGTACTGAACTAGGATTTTCTAATCATCCAGGATTTTTTTAATTCTGTCATTCTCCTACCCCTTAACGTTGAGTTTCCTGTTTTCCCTTTTGGTCAGTATGCCATTTAATGTCCTGTTCTTTAAAACCCGTAAGTCTGAGCAGGAATCCCAGCTACAGATGTTTCTTATTGCAAAGTAACTTCAGTATCAGTCTGGGATTCAGAATAGTTGTGTCTGTGTGTGTGCGTGTGCGCGTGCTTTGCAGTACTTGGAATGGAATTTGATAAACTTGCTATTCATCTTTGTTAGGCTTTATAAAACACTCTGGAACCAGTGACACTAACCACTGTGGAATAGTGGAATATAGCTAAACAGCATCGTACAGCTGCACTACTTTATGCTAAAGGATCTTGTTGCTAGCTTCTGAGACTTAGGTGATTGATGTTTCTGATAAAGGTAAAGAGTTGTAGTGTTCAGTAGAGCCTGACTTGTAGTGAAAGGGAACGGTAAAAATGTCTACCCTATTAGAGAGAGCTGTTTATGTTAGTGCATGTTAACCAGAAAAAGCTTATGAGAGAAACTGTATTTCTTCTAACAGGCCAGTCATGTTCGGAATTACATATGCTTTATATGGAACTAAAACGTCCCTGAGGTCTACAGTGTCAGTTCCTTCTGTCATAATTTTGATTTTCAGTTGCCAGTGCAAAAAAAAAGTTCACTGTGTGTTTGAGGTGAATTTCTTCTGCAGTACGTTTCTAGTAATTAAAGACAGAGGGTGCATATTCAGAAAGAGTTTAGGTTGTTGTAATTGTGTGTCATATGTTACGATATCACAGGACAGGTTACTCTTGGATGTTTCAAGTATTTAAACTAAGACTTACTATTTTCAACATTTCTTTATTTCCTTCAGAAATCTGAATGTGAAAGTGCCAATTTCTACCTCAGTTTGTTGAAGTGTTAACAATACACAAATTTTGTACTTGACAGTCAACCACTGAAATGAAAGGAACATGTGTAGCCAAATTTCAGATTTTCAAGAGTAGTGTGTGTTGGGGGCAGGGGGAAGGTGATTATTAAAAAAATTAAAAATTAAGAAAAAAAACAGAGACCTTATCTAGTACTCCAGTATTTGGTTATAAGACTAATTCTCCCCCCTTTCTTTGGTCACAGCCAAATAAAACATTTGATTCTTCCTTGTTGGCAGATACAGAAAGTATACTGGAACTTTTCAGTGAATTTGCCAAGGCTTGCTAGTTCCTTGAGGTCACTTGTCTTCCTGAGAAAGTGTTACCTTTGCTAGTAGAAATCTAGAGGCTGGAAAAGTACACTTTCTTCCTTGTTTCCCCTCTAGTACTTCTGTGGAGGATTGACTATGCAACCTCTGATAATATGTTGTGGGGTTTTTTAGTTTGCAGTCAGTACATATGGATGTAATAGAATCAGTACATACTCATAGGCAAAGTGCCAATTATTTTTTCTGCTATATAGCTATTCCTTTCATTCCTCCTTTTTTCCTTCCTTTTCATTCAAACTCACCTTTCTGGCAGGCACTCCTTTTAACCAGTTAGAAAAGCTTCTGTCCTTACTGGCTCATATTTTTCTTCATTTTGTTAAGGCAAAGAGGATTCTGAACGCCTCTCTTCTGAAGGCGTTCCAGGTTTTCATATGAAACCTTATTTAAAAAAAAAAATAGTAAATAATAATTTCTTATTAAATCCCTTCTCTCGGTTCTCAAACAAGTCTGTGCAGACTTTTAGGAACACTTCCCCATCTTACCTCCTTCTGTACACCCAGGTGTTTGATTTAGGGAGCTGAGGTAAGCAAGTGTGGAAGACAGCACTGCAGTAAAATGATCCAATGATGAAGTAAGTTTTCCTATTTTAATAAGGTGCTGTTCTGTAAAGAAAAGCTCTAGTCTGAGTCACACACACTGTTCAGATGTAGCTTGGCATCTGGCACGCTGTGCAGCTTTCGGGGTGCTTCTCTGTCATGCAGTAGAGAATGTAATGTAGAGTCAGGTTGTCAACTGTGGCTTTTGCAGGGTCTCTTTCAGTCTGGGGTCCAATTGTCACAGGTTTAGGCAAACCAAATGCATCTGATGTGTGAGTAGTGAAAGGAACTGTGCCAAGCAAAGGTGTGAAGTGTGGGTGTCTGATTCCCTGGAGAAGATTGATGGTTTCTGTGATGCTGGGTCTCCTTGCAGGATCTGACTGCTGTTCTGGGTGCAGTCAGGAGTAGAGCAGGATATGCTCTGGCCAGGAGCTGTGGCTATCACACATAGGTTTTCAGTTTGTGCTCTTTGAGGAGTTGTGACTGCTGCTTCTAATACGTAACATTTAAGACCCTGTGGTATCTACAGAAATTGTTGTAAGATTGTGCACTTCCTCCCTCCTTCGCTTCAGTGTGCCCCCTACTCTATCAGCTGTCGCCCCAACAGGCACTGCAATTACCCTGAATCACAGACAGTATGTGCAGCACAAGGACTTTGCATAGGAAGAAGTTTGTATTATAACAACATTGTTGAGGCAGAAAGGACACTGTCAGAAAAATTGCTTTTCACCATGTATTTGTGAAAAAAAACAGTCCTAGTGCTGTTTTCCTGCATGGATTTAGACCTAATGAAATAGTCTTACATTTATGTGAGTTGCAAAGTCCCCTTGGCAGTCTACTTAGCGATATTCCTTCTGGAAAGAATGTCTTTGACTTGAGGAAAGATTACTTCAAATACTGTTTTCCACAGTCTTACAGAATATGGGAATTTTCCATACTGGAAAGTACTCTGCAGAGTTGTATTTCAGTTTTGGAGAGAAATCTGAGACTGTTCATCTACATGTCACCTGGTAATAGTACAATTACAGCTGTATCTGCAGCAGTGTAGGTAATCCTGGTATGTTCTAGTCTACACAGTCTACTGCTAAATTTTGTGATTTTTATTGTCACATGGAAGGGCAAGAAACCCCAAGAAATTGTTTTGGAAAACTTTTTCAGAGACTACTGCTGCTTCATTTCTCCTGTATTATTATGTAAAATTTAAGTTAATAAAATACAGTATTTAGCTTCTGGAATCCCTTGCATAGATCTTAACTTAGAGTATGCAGGAAAGCAAATTGAAAACTTGCTTATTTTTCTCCAGTCCTTTTTAATTTATGTGTCAATATTGTACATATTATTGGCAGTAGTTCCAAAGAAGCTGAAATTGGGCCTATATTAGCAGTTGTTGTTATATATCAAAATGGTGGCCAGGTAAGCCCAGCTGGAAAGCCAGCGTGGTCATGAGCGCACCGTGCACATCTCCATCTTGTACTAGTTGTCTGGATGTGTGTGGGTTTTGGGGGTTTGTTTTTTAAAGTTGATTTCTTCCTGTTGGTTTTCATGTTTATCTAGAGGGATCTGAATTTGTGTGGCTGCACACTGAGACAGAAGTTAATGCATACTAATTTTTAACTGACTGACTTCTTATTCAGATGGTTCTTGAATTCACAGTTGAAGTAGGACAGCAGATTATGCTTATTGGGGGGGGGGGGGAAGTCTGAATTGATTCTTGAGGTTTTTCAGAAATATACAATGAAACTGGCAAGTACAGTACCATAGTTACAGTATATTCTTACTAAGAATGTACTTCTCTGGACTTGGATTTGTATTTAACAGGTCCAGCCTTAGATAATAAGACACCTGTTAATATCTTGGTGCTATTTAGTGTGTTTTTTGTCTAGTATTGTTGTGATATACAATGAAAATCTTTAACTGAAAATAAATTGAAAAGTGTTAGTGTTAAGTTAATGACTCAAAAGTTAGTGAGTCCCAAGTGTTAGTCACTCCACATATCACTTTGCAGGCACTTGGGCTAAAAAGAGTTATTTTTGTTAACTGGTCACATTCTGTGTAGTTGTAAGAATTCCTTTTATTGTTAAGGTTTTACAGTATATATATATATATATATGAAGTATAACTCTTGGAGATCCATACAGAATTACCATTTTGGTGGTTTGTTTTACCTGTATAAGTGGATTTCCTGCTGTTCAGTGCAGATTGGAAAAATACCAGCTTTCAGTCTTACCCCTCAGTGTAAAAAAACCTTCATCCTGTATGTCCCAGCATACGAAGAATTGAACCTTAGCTGAAACTTCACATGCTGAGAAGTACACAAATGACTTCTTTAGTCAAATTTCAATTCATTTTTTATATGGCTAATAATTTTCTTTTTCCTCCAATAATTTCTGTTACAATGTTCTGATTATCTGCTTAAGACCATTAATGTGTGTTATTTTTTCTCTTTTGCTTTTAGGTATGATGAATGGATAAAGGCAGACAAGATAGTGAGACCAGCTGATAAAAATGTACCAAAAATTAAGCATCGAAAGAAAATAAAGGTAGTTTCTCTCCCTTTTGTTCCCTTATTTCCCACAACTTTGGTTTCATATATTCTAAGTTCTCCCTGCCCCTTTCTAACATTTTGATTGGCCTACAAATGCTTGATAGTAAAAACAAATTCCTAGCCTTTTAAAAACTAAAACTTTTTTCATTGAGGTTTTGTTTTTTCACTTCAGGGTGGGGAGGGGAAGCATCTCTTTCCTTCTTTCCTGTATTTTTAAATTATATTTATGTATGCATTTATAGAAAACAAAATGAGAAGAATCCATTTTATCATCAGTGGTGGGAGACAGCTCTGGGGGTTGAAATTTGGAAGCTTCCTCTTCTGATTCTGGAGAACAAACCTGTGACTAGTCCATGTGTATGTGACTCAGTCATTTTATTTCATAGCATTTCTTTCAAAGTTCATTCTTTAAAACTGATTTTTAGGCTTAGGTTATGATATATTCCTTGAGCAGCAGGGTGCAAGGGAACTTCTCCTTCTGCCACAGATATCAGCACTGCTTCTGCCCCCCCTCCCCAGCACCTTGGTAGCTCTGGAACCTGAGCTCTGTTCTAGAGCTGCCTGCCCCTTGTGAGAGCGCAGGGTGTTGGCCCTGCCCTGCTGTTGTTGAGCTTGGCATCCTGCGGCACCACTGCTCCTGGAGTGCCAGCTGTGTTTGCCTTCCTCTGCTGGGTTTGCTTTCCCATTTGTGGGACATTTAGAATTGACAAAGTTCCTGGTTTTGGTATAAACATCTTGTCATGGACAGTAGAAAGGTATTTGTAAACTTTTAAACAAAGAGGAAAGCTTTCCTTTACAGGTTGAATGTTTTAAGATACTGTAAGCATTTAATTGTAATCTGTGTTAAGATGTATGCTCAACTGAGAAGAGTTTTTTATCTTTTCTTTCACATAGCATAAAATTGACAAGGAAGAGAAGTATTCTCCTAAAAACTGTAAATTGCGACGTTTGTCAAAACCACCCTTTCACACCAGCACATCACCAGAGACTGGGTCCAAACTTGACAGCACTGAAGCCAAAAATACTGAACAAGCTCCAGTTAAATCAATAGAAATTACTTCTATCATTAATGGACTACAAGGTATTATACTTAGACTTCTTCTAATTCTGCAAATGACCTTTGAACAGTAGTAAATGATGATGTGGGACAACTGCTGTAGCTGTACACTTGAGTCTGTCTGGTTATAACATCTCTGGACTTGTTCTAACTGGTCCATGTCTGTCTTGTGTTGGAGGCTCCAGAACTGGACACAGCACTCCAGGTGGGACCTTACGAGAGTGGAGTAGATGGGGGAGAATCACCTCCCTCGACCTGCTGGCCACGCTTCTCTTGATGCAGCCCAGGATCCGGTTGGCCTTCTGGGCTGCAAGTGCACATTGCCGGCTCATGTTCAGCTTCTTGTCCACCACCACTCCCAAGTCCTTCTCCTCAGGGCTACCCTCAATCCGTTCTCTTCCCAGCCTGTGTTTGTGCTTGGGGTTGTCCCAACCTAGGTATAGGACCTTGCATTTGGCCTTGTTGAACTTCATGAGGTTAGCACAGGCCCACCTCTCAAGCCTGTCAAGGCCCCTCTGTCCCGATCTGATGTTGGGATCATTGAAATGTCCCGATCTGTTGTCGGGGAAGGTTTTGATATGATCCCAAGA